AAAAAAAAAAAGTGTGTAGTTATTTTCTTTACAAGATTCACTATTTCAATAAGAGTTGGCAATTGTAGAAATTCCATTAAGATAGCCATTTTTCTAGTGACTTCTTGTGTGTTATTGGTCTATCAAATATATTTTCAATCACGTAGTTTGGAAATTTCACCAACAGACATTTTCTAATCATAACTCATTCACAAAGAGAAATCAGTTGATAATTATGGCACCATCATTGTCTTCTTAAATTCCATCCAACATTTTCTACATTTGAAGAGGCAGGTGGAGTGAAATTGACATTCTTTCTTTCAAAACTATGTTTCCTTCCTTCCTTCCCTTTTCCTTTTCCTCTTTCTCTCTTTCTACTTTCTCTTCTCCCCTCTTCTCCCTTCTTCCCAGACAATAACATCTTTCATACTCATTTTACAAGCATTATTAGGATCATACCTGAAGAAAATCCTTAGTTATTATCATCTTGGATCATTCACTTCCTAGGAAATAAGTAGACCTTGATGGAAGGGAGAATTTCCAAGGCTGACTCTACAACTAAGTAGCTGTGCTTGGTCACTGGAAAGATCAAACCACACTGCCAATCTTGGTACATTTTTAAAAATTGCTCTCAACCATTGTTTGTTTCACAGTGGTCTATTTTGTTTAGGATGAAATCATAAGCTTCACAGGAAATCCCTGGTCTTAAAGAAGGAAGTGACATGATATAATTTGCATTTCAGAAATACCTCTCTGTCAGGAGTGTGGAGAATTTAATGGGCTGGGAATAAGAATTAAGGCAGATGGATCAGAAAAGAGATTCTTGGTGTAAAGAAGGTGAGAAATCATGGGGACTGAAAATAAGGCCATAGCCATGATCATGGCAGAATGGGATTATTTAATGAGACACAGAAGTATACTTGAAGTTCTACAAAGAAGCTGGTTTTTCTTTGTAAAATAACCTCTTGAATAACAACAAGTCCTAGAAGATATTTGCATTAAAAATATTTTTTTTAAAAAATTTGCATTAACCAAAATAGGAGTATCAAAATTATTTATTATTACTAATTTTATTTTTAAATTCTCTTTGAGAGAGAATATTAGACCATATCAATATATCTTTAAAATGCTCCCTGGAAAGACTCAATGTACCCTCAACACAGTCTCTCTGACGGTTTTTCCTTTTCATTCATTTCTTCACATACTTCATGATGCTCTTGGTTTTCTCTACATCGTTTCCTTTAAATCTCCTTCCTTCCAACCAAGCAGAAAGGGACTGCCTGTATTTCTGCTCCTGTCCTCTGTTCTTATCCCGACTATGGAGAATAGCCTGGAATAACTGGAAGATCAGGTGGCCCCAAGTCTTCTAGGACTAAGATCTTACTATTATTTTCATTTTCATTCCATTTACTAGTGTCTCTGTTCAAAAGAATTAACCTGAATTTTCTTGCCTGTGCAGAACCAGGAGAGAAAAATATGCAGTAGATTAGTAATCATCAATTTGTTTTTTTTTTAAATAAAAGCAGAAAAAAAACTGAGAGATTTGCATTTTCATCAAAGGTATACCTTAGAGTCATTACATGCAGCTGTCTGTTTTATTCTATGCTGCTTGGAATTTTAATTTTTGATATGCCATAATTAATTTACATCTGGTGGATTAGGTGGCTTTTAGTACTTGGGCTCCCAGGGTGTCTGCTGTACTTACTGACAAATGTTTACGCGCTTTCCATCATTTTTCTATCACACAAAGTACTGCAATAAACACTCTTGTAATCATATGGTTTTTGCCCTGTGAATATTTAGAAAGGAAAATGCTAGATCAAAAGATAAATACCTAATTAATTCTGCGAGACACTGAAGAATTAGCTGTAAAAGTGTCTCTAACAACATTGGCTCCCACCATTGATGGTTTCTCCTTACCCTCACACACAAAATAGTAACTTCATTGCTTTTCTGCAGTGGGTTAATCTATTTCTTAAGTTGTCATTTTCTAATAATTAGGAAAATTGAGCATCTCTTCCAGTCTTTGAACTGCTCCCTGGGTTTTCAGTACTATTGGGAATTAATCGAGTATCCTACTTGGTTTCTTTGCCCTTTTCTTTGCTCTTCCTACCTTCCATTCTTCCTTCTTTTCTTTCTTCCTGTTTTTCTTAATCAATTTCAGGAGTTGTTTTTGAATAGAGTTTTCTGTTTTCCTGTGATGTGTTGAAATTTTTAGTTTGAAACCTATTTTGTATGTAGAGCCATGTAGGATTATTTCATTTACATATCTGTATTTACTTTTATTAATATTGGCTTTTTATGGTTGATGTTGGCTTTTCACATACACTAGTTTGCATTCAACAAGGCATAAGAATTTTTTTTTACATTTAATTTGTGATGATTTCATTTTGAGAAATGAGATAAAAGAACAGTGTCACCTTATGCAGGTATAATTTCTTAAAAGACTACTGAAGTATGACTTTTTTTCTCTGAATATGAAAAAGAAAAAGATAGACTACATACTTCAGTTTAGAAGATAGTGTTTTATTTGCTACATAGATATTCATCTGAGATAAATGGGTAGCAGTGCTTCGCCATTAAACTTTTATTTTCTGAATATGACTCACTTAAATGAGCACTGTGAACTGGTGGGTAGAAAGAGGCATTAACTTACAAGCCATATCTTTACTGCAGAGCAGGGCTCTGACCTCTCTTGAGTCTGGAATGAAGAAAGAGAACGTAGGGAATGTTCTCCTCTGCTTTCTGTGTCTACTGAACAGAATGTAAGATTCCTTCTACTTTTTTTGAATGACCGGTATTAAGTTTTCTCATCTCAAGTTATATTTGCATGTTAGATGGAGAAGAATAAATCAACTCCTTTTTTGATCCCAATAGCTAATGTAGAGGTTATTTGATTATAACTAATACAAATGATTCATCACTTAAGATGGAAAAGTTATAGAGATGTGAAAGGTAGCCAGGATCAATACCTTATTTCCGAATATGCTTTGTGTATCTGGTCTCCTTTGGATTCCTAAGAGAGACACATAATCTCCTCATTTCTACAAATTATTCTTGGTAGTTTGATTTACTTTACTATAGTACTATATTACCTACAATTTCACATGGAATGGACTGTCCTTATTCTACCTGAATTACTATAAAACCTAAAATATCTGCCATTTTCCATAGCTAAGGAGAAAATGGCCAAAGAAAAACATATTTAAAGCATAATATAAATAACAATACCTCCTCAGAGTTTACCAAAGTTTGCAAAGTAATAATAGAAATTAACGTAACTAAAGTCAATAACCATCCAAAACCATCATATTTATAATTTCTGACTTATATTTTAATGACTTTAAAAGTAATCAATGTCTGATTTTTTTATAAATAATCAGCTGCAACTCCATAATAATTAGCACATTGGTATATACTAGTGCGGGTCTTTGTCATACTGATGTCTACACCGACACACACACAAACTTACATACACATACCTATGCAAACATATTTTTGTATTTTTTGAATTCCTTTTTTCTAATTTCACCATTTATATATAAAAATGTGATTATATAATTTTTAAACAATACAGATAAAGTGAAGGTTCTTAACACATCCTCTTGTTATTCACTCTCTATATCAATTTTTTGTCCCATTTACAAAAAGAAGGTAAGTATAGCTATTGTATTTTATATCTTTTCCAGAATTTTAAAAGCAAACACACAATACACACATATATATGTACATATGAATAGGCTATCTTTTAAAATATATTTATATTATAAATTACCATGCAACTTGGTTTTCCACTTAACATAGATACTTTTAATGCTAGAATATAGCATTCTACTTCAATTTTTAAATTAATAGTATTCAATTATATAATCATATTTTTGCTTTATTACTAGATGTTAGTTCATTTGGACATTTTTCTCTATTATAAAATGTGACTATTAAAATCACTATATAGGCTTTTGAATGGTTTAAAGTTATTAACTAAAGGCCCATCCCAATAATAGTGTTAACTTTCCCACAGTTTTGTCAACCAGTTAAAACTCACCCTCACAAGAGAAAGAACATTTCTCTTTATTAACTGAATTCGTGTTTCCATTTCTAGAGAAGCTAAGTATATTTTCAAATATCTTTGGGAAATTTATATTTCCTCTTCTAGCAATTTCTCTTTGTGGCCCATTATTCTGTTATCTTAGTTTGTCTTTTTCTTACTGATTCATAAGATTTTCTTTTACAAATTAAGCTTCCAAATACTGATAATTTTCCAGTTATAATGTTCTAAATATTTTTTTCAACTGATAACTTAAATTTATAATTTATTTAGAATTAAGCCTGAGTGTTTTGGTACATGCCTGTCCTCCCAGCTCCTTGGGACCCTGAGGTAGGATAATTGCAAGTTTGAGGCCAGCCTGGGCAACACAGCAAGAAGACCCTCATCTTAAAAAAAAAAAAATCTAAAAACTAATTTAGGATTATTTTTCATTAGTTGGTAGTCACATCTTTCAACATATGTCTGCTTGGATTTTTGTTGTTATCATTTCATTATATCTCAACTCATAAGCAAATTCTCTCATTTTCACATAAGACTTTTATAATTTAGCTTTTTTTAACATGTGTTTGTTCAATTAACCTGGAATTTGATTTTGAGAATGATGAACAGCAATCTAACTTTATTTATTCAAAATTTGTAGCCAGTTATCCCAACATTGTTTGATATAATTTTTTTTCTTTTTCTATTGATAAGAAATCTCTCTCAGATGCTTATCAAAATAACACTTTTCTTTTTCTATTTATGTCAGAAATAAGAGACAATTTTAATAACTAAGGTATCTTAGTTTGCTTCTGAAGCTAATGGTACAATTCCCTCTTGCTCTCATTAAAAATGCTTTTTGAGCATATGGATGGTTTCTATAATTTTTATCATGTTTCTTAAGATTGCCCCTGAGTCTATGAATGACAGTGTAGAGAAAATTTCACAAAAACATCATTAAAAATCTGAAGGGAAAATAATACCCTAAGTCAAACAGAATTTAGCTTGTTAAATATATCATACCAGCCTGACTCTCCATTTTATGAAGGAAATGGACATTCAATCAATATTTAGTCAGGTCAGGTACATAAACATAAGTCTAGCTGCTTGCCAAAGTTGGTGTTATTGGAACTTTGGAATGCAAAATAAATTTTCTTAACTCTGTTTAACCTATAAAAAAAATCTATCATAGCATTTTCCTATACAGTAGTGATACCAAATAAAAACATAGTGCAAGACATATATATAATTTAAAATTTACTAGTAACTGGATTTTAAAAAATTGAAGAGGAATGTATAAGATTAATTTGTGTTTTATTTAACCAACCTATCTAAAACATTTCAACATGCAATCAATGTAAAAAATACTAGTGGGATACTCAACACTCTTTTACTCATCTTAAGCTTTGGAAATTCAGGATGCCTTTGAAAGCCTATCTCAGTTTGGACCTGAATCTTTTCAAGTTCTCAATAGTCACAAGTGCCTAGAGGCCACCACACTGGGAAGCACAGTGCCAGAATTTTAGATCTATTTTGTTGCTTGCATGTATTAATTTACTATACAATCTTCTGAAATGCTTATATCACTTGGAGTATGTCAAAATATACATGATTAAGTTTATATACTTCTTAGTTAGTGGACATTTTCTAAATATGGCCAGACAATCAGTGGTTAATAATTTAGCTGAATTAAATGTACATAAGGCATAATTTAAGTAATAGAATGAATCATGAGTTAATATCCTCCTTTGTTTTAAAAGCCAGATCTGAGTATAGATTTTCAGAGTGACATGGCTTTATATAAGGCAGAGACCAGTGAATGGCTCTAGATGTCTATTATTCTTAATAAATTTGTTTCAATTTCTAATTAAATAATTTCTAATTTCTAAAAACTCCTGAATAATCCAAATGCTTTTTGACAATTATTCAATTTTGCTGTGCTCAGGTTTTTCCTAACATTAATAAATTTCTTTCAAGCACATAAAGAAAATTATATAAAATGTTGCTCTCCAATATCATCTCTAATTCTTAAAATAGAAGATCATGATGAGGAAAATACATTTTAAAAAACATGTAAATCAGATATTAACCAAGTAGTTGGAACTAAAGCTTTCATCTTGCAAATATTTTTGTTTTTAAAACATCTTTTGATACTATCAAAGTTCCTTTTCAGCTTCTCAAATATATTTTATTTGCATAGCATATTGCTTCTTATCCTTATATTTTTACTGACAGTTGAATAAAATTTCTATTTTGCTTCAATTGCTTATTTCTTGCATATTTATGTGAAAAGAAAACATTTCTTCCCTAATTCTTTGTTCTTTTGTGTTTCCAGAGCTGTAGACCTTATGAATAGCTTTGTGATTCTAAGATGCAGAGCAAATTCACTTTCATGGTGCCAGTACCCCGCTATGTTCTGCAATCAAATTCAGTACATGTAGCACCACAGCAAGTCTGAAGGCCAGAAGTCAGTATGATGTCTATGATTTTGGAATTCTGGTCATAGTTCCTTATAAGTTTGGAGATACAACATACAACCCTAAAATTCCACTCCCAGGTTTTCCCCCAAATAAATGAAACCTTATATCCATAAAAAATATTTGCATAGAATTTCAGGTATTTATTTTATTCACAAAGGGAAAGAAAGCTCCAATAATCCAAATGCCCATCAACATTTGAGTGGATGAACAAACTGAAAAATTCATAGGATGAAATTCTACATAACAATAAGAAAGAAAAAAAAATCAACATTAATGAATCCTAGAAATATTATTTTGAGTAAAGAAAGCCAGGCACAGAAAAGAACACATCTCATGGCCTATAGGAAGATGGAGAAAAGGAAACTAATCTAGCTAACAGGAATCAGAATAGTGTTTTGCTATGAAAAAGGGCCACGTTGGTTAAAAAGAGACATACAGGAGTTTTCTGGGATGATGAAAATATTCTATGTTTACAGGGTATTGGTTGTCAACATGTATTCCTTTACCAAGACTTAAACTCTGTATATTGTGTTATAAAAAAGTCAGCAGTAATAATTATTAAATAAAATAATAATTATTTTATAGACTGCAGTACATACATTATTGCATGCCCTTCAATGAGAAATCCCACTTATTGATTGAGTTATTTAGTTTTGGGGTATTTAGTTATTCAGTTTTTAATCCTTGTTCGAGGAGTAGCTAGAAAAGATTTTTCTCCCTTTCTGTAGGCTGTCTATTTATGCTCTCATTTATTTACTTTTAACAGAAATTTTTCAAAAGAAGAAATACAAATGGCTAACAAATATGTGACAAAATGTTCAACATCCCTAGCAATCAGGGAAATACAATTCAAAATTATACTGAGGGTTCATCTCACTCCAAATAGAATGCCAGTCATCAAGAATACAAATAATGATAAATGCTGGCAATGATGTCAGGAGAAAGAGACTGCAAAGTAGTACAAGCACTTTGGAAAGCAGTATGGAGATTCCTCCAAAAACTAGGCATGGAACACCATATTACCCGACCTTTCCACTTGTTGGTATTTATCTAAAAGAACTAAACTCAGCACACCATAGTGAAATAGGTACATCAATGTTTATAGCAGCACAATTCACCATAGCCAATTTATGGAACCAGCCCAGGTGTCCATCAACATGGGTAAAGAATAATGTGGTGTATGAATACACAATGGAGTTTTATTTTACTCAGCCATAAGGAAGAAGGAAATTACGACATTTCTTGCTAAATGGATGAAACAGAAGAACATCTTAAGACATGAAATAAACATGACTCAGAAACTCAAGGGTCAAATGTTTTCTCTCATGTGTGAAAACTAGAGGTAAATAAGGGGAAAAGGTTGTGGGGTCCCCATGAAAATAGAAGGGAGATCATTGGAGTGGAGGAAGGGGACTAAGTGGGAGGGAAGAGGGACAGGAAAAAGGAGGAACTAAGCAATGAAATTGACCAAATGACGCTATGTCGCTACACAAGGATACCACAGTGAACCCCACCTTTGTGTATGTATATAAAGCACCAATTAAATACACAATAAATAAATAGAAGGAAGACCAGTAGAGTACAAGAAGGGAACAGAGGAAGAGAGGAGAGGAAGGATCAAGAGGAAGCACTAGAGATTGAAGTGGAGCAGATTCAATTCCATGCATTTATGTCAAGATGAACCCCACTATTATGTATAACTATAATGAACTAATAAAAATATTTTTAGAAGAAAAGAAATGAATTATGGATTGCACAACATGAATTAATACTAAGCCCATCAAGCTAAGAGAATCTCTCCCAGTCTTTATATACTGACTGTGTTGGTTCAGTGCCTCTCTCTCAAGATCATTCACAACTCTGCATTAGCCTCTACTCTCTGCTTATGCTGTCTTGACATAAAACTTTAGTTCCTCTCGGGATTTTTTTTTTTGAGGATGCCTCCTTCCCTGGGAAAGTACGTGGCTTTCCCTTCCCAATGTCTTTAGGGGATTTACTCTACCTAATCTTTCAGGTCAATGTTTCATCCTTTCTTGTTTCCATTCTAGTACTCAGCCCATCTGTTGAGTTCTTTATCTCAATTATTGCTTTTCATAAGTAATGTCTTACTTATATTTTATGGCTTCTTATACCTTTTTCCCACTCCAATATCTGCCCCTTACCTTTCCAGATACAGAAAATGCTCATTTTAAATTGTTGTTTATTGCATCTGTTAATTCTGCCTTGTCTGCATACTAAATACTTGTTTTGTTTTCCCACAAGTCGCTGTGCTGTTAGAGGTGTACACATGGCAGATGATAATATGGACCACCCAGAAGCAGTTAAAGCCAGATGCCTGTTTATGCCTTCTTTGATGACTTCGGAGTATAGTTGAACAGCATCCTAAGAAGAAGCTGGAGTAACACAGCTATTCTGCTTTAAACTCCCTTCACCTTTGCCACCAATGTAACATTGGACATTTGACACCAGGACAGTCTTGGTCACTGTGACCTTCATGCCTCCATTTCATTGCACATTTTCTGCTCTTATTCCTAGTTAGAATCACCTAGCTCTTGGGAATAAAGGGCAAATGGGGAGATTATAATCTGGAGTAGGTTCATCCAGTTTAGTTTTAAACACTTATACAATTAAAGCACCCTACTTCTTTATGAAGAAAGGAAAGGAAGTTGATATTTTAACAAATGGTAGTAGATTTCTAAGTTCACAACTATGAAAATCCCATAGAAAATTAAAAATAATCTGCATATTCTAAAATACTGTAATTAATATATTTTTCATAGTGTAATTTTAATTTGAAACGCTTATTAGGCCTTAAATTTACCATATGTGGAAAAATAAATCTTATGAATTTTCTAAGAAGTAGAGATTCTTAATATTTTTTTAGATTGAAGAGAACAATTTGAATGATATTAGGCAAAGTATATACACAGAAAACAGATGAGATTCTATTTCAAATAATCTAAAATGATATTCTGAGTTGATCAGTACACATTATATATATATATATATATATATATATATGTATTGAAATATACTGTATTCAATAAATATGGACAAATACATGTTAATTTAAAATGTAAATGCTTAAGGTGATGGAAATGTTGACTACCTTGATTTGATAACTGCACACTGAATAAGTGTATCTAATTATTTCATGATACTCCAGAAACTTGTGCAATTAAAATAATAATTTTTTAAAAAGCAAGCAGAGGTATTTTATGTAAGATAAAAGCCATGTATATTTTTCTAATGTTTTGAGGAATTTAAGGATATTCAAGACAAAATATATGATGATCTAATTTTTTATCAGGGAAGAAATTCAGATGAAAATTTGGAAGCAGGATTGTCAGTTCAAGTTGCATATATATGTGTGTGTGTGTGTGTGTGTGTGTGTGTGTATTTGTACATATTTAAAATGACTACAGATTTGACTTGAATAATTCATATTTAATAAAGCACATTTTTCTGGTAGTACTTCATGCACACTGAAATCAGCATATTATCACTGAATTATCTTCAGTACAAAATGTGCCTTTTCAATAATATGATACTATAAAATAGCTATTTAATTCCAGGGACTTATGCATCTGACTTGATAGTACATTCTAAATTAAAGAGATAACAAACTTTTCCTTCCTTGCTTCCAATATAAAAAGAGGCCAAAACATTTGCATATGAAATATATTATCTGTCATGAAATACTTATCTTCGCAGCCAGTTTCAATAGACAATATTTATTCAATCATGCAGTCAGAATTTGAAAGGAAATTTAGTGACAATTTTATTTAAGAACATTGTCATCCTGGTTCTGGAAAAACAATTGGGACACTATTTCTGCCAGGGAGATTTAGGAAGCTCAAAGCTGCCAGTTATGCAAATTCATTCCAAACAACAACCCTAACTCATTCAAGGACACTATGTTTGTAATGATTTTCTTCTACTGTGACCATTTTTGTAATTGTGCATTTAAAAAAGAAAAGTTATATTTTCAACCTATTTAATACCAGGAAGAAGATAATGAAACTCGGGGGTGATTGTTTTGATGATAACATTGAAGTTGTTAGAGATTTTGATGAAGAAATGCCACTTCCCCCATGATGTACTTGATTTTTTTTTTGTTGTTTTTTGGTAGCTTCATTTCTTGTTCAATTGTCTTGGTTAACAGTTATGACGCAAACTATTGGTAAGACATTGTTATTGTACAAGAAAACTACTGTAGACTTTTGGGTTTGTAAACATCCCATAAAAATACTTCTTTTTTCCAAATTAACTCAGAACTATATGACAGACAGATTCTGGATTTACATTAAGGTCTAAAGTTTATCTTTATAATTAATAGATCTGCTTGGGGAATGTGATTTTTAAGTATATGAGAACTTGCTACTATTTACTCCATGATTTGAACTTCCTAATTTACTTAGTGATACAGGTAGAAAAACATCACAGGATTTCCCTAAGGAGTAGGAACAGCAGTCTCCCTGATTAACAAAAGACTGAGCAATAGTTTCCCAAACTTGGTTTAACAGCTGAACTCAACTGAACCCATCTATGCTCTCTCATGTGGGTCACAAGTCCAGCCATGACTTATCTGAGTCTGTGCTCAGCATGGGAATGCTGGCCAGACCTGAGGCCCAGAGTCCTCGTCCAAGGCCATGTGACAATTAGCAGAGTTGATTTTCTTGCAGCTATAGAATACATAGCCACTTGCTTTTTCAAGACCACATGAGCTATCTCCCTGATCTCAAGGAAAGCTTAAAGGATCTTTTAAGGGCTCACCTATCAAGGTTGGGCCCACGCAGGGTACCTCCCATGTAATTAACTGCAAGTCAAACGGATTAGGGACTTTACTTACATACCTTCACTTTTGCCACATCAGGTAACGTCATCAGGGGAGTGACTGCCATTTCCTTCATAGTTTCTGCCCTCAATCAGGGGAGGCACGTGTGTTTAAAACAAGGGTAAGATTCCTTGGAGGTTGTCTTAGAATTCTTTATACCAACCATAAAATTCACCCTTTCCTTTGAGCAGTGGATACACAGAAAACAGAGAGCAAGAGTTTACCTTAATGCTTTTTTATTTTTACAGCACAACATCAGACTAAGGGAAAATCCAACACCCATGAGGATCGTTGTTTTACTTTATACATTTGTTGAGTCAAATTTTTCTTCTAAAAACATTCTAACATCATTTAATACATTCCCAAATTTCTCCAAATTCTCAATTGAAAAGGGAAAAGGTATATTTTAAAACTCCCATTTACCCATATTATAGCATCAGCATGATTTGAGCTTATAATCATAAAAATTTTTAATGTTAGATGAAACTGTTCTGAGACATTCTGTTTTGCATCTACCTTTAGCGACTCCAATTCTCTGTTGTCCTCTGATTTTTTTTATCTTTTCCTCTACTTCCCCAAAAAGTATTAACATAACATATTCTTAAATTCTTATCTGCTAACTCCAATATTTAGATTGCCTAGGAATATACTTCTATTTTCTACATTTTATCTTCTTTTTTGGTCATTTGATCCTGTCTGGTGACAAACTTACTAATTTTATCACATATCATATTCTTGGAAAAGGACAGAAATTTGACTTCCATTAAAGAGTTTCTCTCTCCCTTTGCTAGGAGGACAGCAAAGGAACTTAATCTGTTCAGAACAGTGAGTTTGGAATGGGCTAGCATTGCAAAAATAATACATCTGAAACTGTGTTTCTATACCCACGTCTCAGGCATGTCCCCCAATGACTCCAACCTAGAAGCCTGTGGTATTCACTGAGATTAGTCCCCCAGTGAATTCTAAGCTTTATAACTTTTGTCTGTTCTGCATAGTGAGACAATGGTTTTTTCTGTCTGCTCTGCTTTTCAGAAAAGTTCTGGCTCGCCTGAGCCTCTTATCTACACAGCTGCATAATTTTGAAAATGTCCTGAGAGAAAAATCTTCTGTATTTATGGTCCATTTCTATGTCTCTCCTTTTTATCAGAACCTCAGTTATTCCTACCTCCAAATTTCATATCTTAAGCTGCATTAAAAAAAACTGTTCTCTGATTCTCAACTGTGGCTCTCCTCTCAGACCCTTTGTCCACAGCTCTGGCTCCATTCTGTACACCTAGAAAAAGAAGTATCCTAAAGAGAAGGTAGTTGGAACATATCTGCCCACTCTCTGCAGTAGCCCTTTTACATCATTATCTCTGCAGGACTCTGCTGCCTCTAAACAACAAACACAAACAAGTAAGTAGATATATAAGTTAGCGCTTTTGTCTACCTTTTCTCCTTGACTTTCATGGAAGGATCATTTGGCCACATGCGACTCTGTCATAGTCAGAAGCACAGTATACACTTCTAAAGAGCCCATGTGCATAATGTTCAAAACGGTTTGAACAGTTTTCTCCCTTGTGGAATGGAAGTGTCATTCTATATCAGATATATGTAACTTGCTTTTAATTGTTATTGGACTCATGCTGCAAGTTGGCATTAAGTCTCAAAGGAGACTTTGGACTTGTGAGTAATGCTGGAACTGTTAAAACTGTGCGGACTCTTGGAAATAGACTAAATGTATTTTACATTGGGAGATGGGCATGAACTTTTTGGGACTGAGGATGGAATGTTGTGGTTTAAATATAAGGTATTCCCCAAAAGCTCATGGGTTAGACAGTGCAAGAATTTTCAGAAATGAAACGATTAGGTTGCAAGAGACTTAACCTAATCAGTGGATTAATCCACTGAGAAAAGAAAGAATTTAAATTATTTCTATTGACAACCTGATTATATACATAGGAACATTAAATATTCCACCAAAAACCATCAAAACTGATATATAAATTCAGCCAAAGTTGTAGGATACAAAATCAACATGCAAAATCATTATCATTTCCAAACACTAACAATCAACTATTTAAGTCAGAAATAAAGAAAATAATACCAGTTAAAATCACATCAAAATATTAGTATCATTAGAAGTAAATTTAACCTTAGAGGAGAAAGAGCTATACACAAAATACTAGAAAACATTGTTAAGAGAAACTGAAAAAAAATACGTATAAATAGAAAGATATCTCGTACTCATGGATTGGAAAACTTAATATTGTTAACATGTCTACACTATCACTGTGATCTGTAGAGTTGATGCAATATCTATTGAAATTTTAATATCACTTTTTTATGTAGTTATTAAAAATCCTAAAATCTGCATGGTACTAAAAAACCCCAAAAAGGCAATCTTGCATACAAGGAATAAAGCTGAAGACATCATAGTGCCTAATTTTAAAATGTATTATAAAACTACACTAAAACAGCATGATACTGCAAAAAAAAATCACCAATGTAAAGGTTTATAAAGTCTATAAATAAATATAGCCCATAATTTATACACTTACCAGATAGCAGATTCTATTGCATAAATATTCAATTATTATTTGTCAGTTAGAAAAAACAGATATTTCTTCGAATTTTCTTTAGACACTACATAGATAACACTTATTTCAGCAAACAGATGTGATGATCAATCTCTAGTAAAAATAATGAAATATTAATTAGAAACCTTTTTTAGTTTTGGTTTTGTTTTGTTTTTGTTTTGTTTTGGTGCTAGTGATTGAACCCAGAGGCACTTTACCACTACACTAAGCCACATCCCCAGCCTTTTTTTTTTTTTTTTTTTTAAGAGAGGTTCTCACAAAGTTACTTAGGGTCTTGGTTAAGTTGCTGAGACTAGCTTCAAACCTGAAATTCTCCTGACTGGGTTTACAGGTATGCACCCCTGTGCTCAGCTTAGTAAGAAATGGGGTTTTTAAATATTTCTTTAAATACTCGTGATATACTCTTTAGAGAAAAGTTGTCATTTCAGTGGATAGATGTACTGGCCACACTCTACAAGCAAGCACTAACAACCCTGAATTTTAAGATTTTTTTTTATAATGCTACTTATACACTATGCTGACTAAATCGTAATTTCAGGTAATGGATTAGGTAACCACTATAATTATGTGGTGAAGTGCTAAAAACATATATTAAAAGTTGGTTTGACAATCCAACACATTGAGAAGCATTATTTCAAATAATTGGCATAGTTAGCATGTGTACTACATGTAGTAAAGTGCTTGATGATGTATGTTTTAAAACGTTTCTCAGAATGCTACCTCCTGACTGTACCGAGAACATGATATTCCAGAGCCAGAACACGGTGACCAAACCGAAATGAACGTAGTGACATGCTTAATGGCGAGACTTCCCATGGGGTCTCTTAGGGCACTCCTTTCACACCAGGTTGAGAGGAGTGTTATTACAGTGAATTGATGTGGTTCAAACTCTAATGCTGGTTATGAATTTTTAAGACCCACATTTCCTATGTCACTGATTATTCACTATGTTGAAAACAAATGTTACTTCAGTATATTGGCGTGGTAACCTCACTAAAGCACATAACGAAATTATAAGTGTTTTGTATTATTCTTAAGAATGCTCCTTATACACTAATTGAAAAAGTATGATTCTGTGTGTGTGACAACCATACTCTAAGGCATACAATGAAGTGTATAAATACACGTGTCTAATGATGTTTTTTAAGATATTTCAACTGAAGTATAAGAGAACAGGACTATTTCAGAGAATGGATTTGGTGGCCACACTGCAGAGCATGTGGTAAAGTTTTCGAAACACATATACTAAGGAAGTTCCTAATAGTGCAACATTTTCACCATTTCAAGAATAGTGTTATTTCCACAAATGAATATAGTGACCACACTGTAAAGCATGCATTAAATTATTGAAAGACACATATATTACAGAATTTCCTGAAAGTCATACTCATTTTCTAAGTTGTGTGTGGTGTGATTTCAGTAAATGGTTGTAATAATTATACAAAATGCATGTGGTAGCGTGTTTAAATGCACATGTATAAAAATGTTTCCAGGAGTTCTGCTTCAATTCTAAGCTGTGAAAACTTTCATTTCAGTGAATGAGTGTAGGGAATCTATAATCCTTTATAGTAAAGTGCTGACATACATGTCTTTGTAAGACAGTGTTAATTTAGTCAATGGATGTGGAGCCACTCTCTAATGCATGTAGCAATGTGTTCAGACTCTCATGTAGACAAGACCTTTATAAAGGAAGGATGTCAAAAAGCTGACAAAGTAGGAGTTACAAGCCTTCATTTCCCTAAGCAGGGAATAAACAAGTATAGAGAGCTTTCATCAATCAAAATAGTCTTGGGAGAGCTTAAGGAATTTGTAGTGGAATGAAAAATATATATGGAGAGTATCTGCACAAAAATACCACTGGAATGATTGGCATACCCAGATGCCTGGAGGTGGCTGGGAATGAGAAAGGTAGAGGCTGGTGTCTTGGCCACCAGAGTTCCCAAGGGCCTGGGCCTGTTTTGCAGAAGACTGTGGTCTTTTACATTGAGATAACCATCTCTTCATCTCTGGGATTTTTGCTGCAGAATCCCAGAGGTGAAGAGATGGCTGCACAGCCTCCAGCCAAGGAGCAATCATTCTTACCACTTCCCCCAAACTTGTTCATATTCCTAAGCCACAGCCACTCACCAGTTGCTCACCTTCCAAATTTCAGCTCTGTCTGTGGCTGCACTGTGCCTTCCCATACATCGAACTGTAAAATCACTACCATAATCAATTCCTTTGCACCTAGGCCTCAGAGGCATGCCCCAGATACCAGCTCAATGACCACAGCAAGCTAGCTCCAGTGCCAGACCCCAGGGCAGCTGTTTCTTCATACATTTCTGTACTGTGAACCCCAACTCTCAGCTGGTTTGCACATACCATACCTCACACACAGAAGTCACCACTGAGGTATTAGGTAGGAGTTCAGGGACACCAAGATGGCAGAGGCAGGGTGTAAGAAGGGTGCCACTGGAAGACAAGACAGGGAGCTGAATCATGTCCCTGTTTGTGGTAAGTCTCATTACCATGACAACTCTCACCACTGAGGGCTTATCACCATGGCAACTCCCACCACAGGTTCGGTATTTTAAAATGACCAATGGAGGCAAAGTGGGTATTTTCTAAAGCAACCAATGGGAGAAAATTGGAAAATATTCTAATCAGGTATCACAGGGTAACCAATGGGAGCGAATGGGGTTGGTCCATATAGGGAACAGGATATCTCACAGCTGAGCATATGAGACACTAATTTCCAGGGGTCCCTGCTCCAAACAACAGCACAGCGACTACTAAGAGCTCTAGTCCATATCCTGGACCCTTGTTATGGTTTAGATATTAGGCATCCCCCAAAAGCTCACCTGTGAGACAATACTAGAAGACTTAGAGGAGAAATGACTGGGTCATGAGAGTCTTAACCCAATCAGTCAATTAATTCCCTCACGGGATTAACTGAGTGGTAACTGAAGGCAGGTGGGGTGTGGCTTGAAGAAATGGGACCCTAGGGCATGCCTTGCAGGTATATATTTTGTATCTGGTGAGTGGAGTCTCTCGGTTGCCTAGTCATCCTGTGAGCGGCTTCCCTCCATCACATTCTTCTGCCTCACCTCAAGCCCAGAAGAATGAAGCCAGCCACCTATGGACTGAGACCTCTGAAAATAAACTTTTTCCTCCTCTAAAATTATTCTTGTCAGGTCTTTTAGTCACAGCAGCAAAAAAGCTAAAACCACCCTGGAGCTTGCTATCCATGTGCGTGCCCACTCCAGGACCCTGCTCTACGGTTTGACTGTGTGCACCCACACCTAAGATACCAGTTATCACCATGGCGAGGCATTTCACTCCAGATCCCAGAGCTTCCTATTGTCTACACATGCACATGCTTAAGAGACCTAGTTAGTTGTCACAGAGAGCTAGCCCATGCCCTGGACACTGGAGACGGGAGCTTGGCACACACCTGTGTTCCAGTCCCTGCCTCCCTACTTGCTTCATAAGCAAGTACATCTTGCACATTGTTACCCACAAAGAACAGGAAGCCTGCATCCTGGGTACCAATGCCATTGCCACCTGGCCAACAGCTATGTTCTCTCCATGCATTCCCATGCTCCAGTGCCCATTGCCAAGGATGAAAATCAAAATGGAATAGCATTGGTTTGGGGCACTGAAAATGAAATTGAGACACCATGATTAAATAGGGTTTAATCATCTCATTAACAATTTAACCTTGAACTGAGCTGCCTGCACTTATGTACCTGGATGCATGTTGACTGGGCCAAACTGCAGTTCTTTAGCTTTTGCTAACCATTGGTAAAACCTCTTCTTCCCATATATTACATAGAGATTGTAACAACACCAACTTGACTTGTTTCAGTACCATCACAATTCCTGACAAGCAAATGGTATAACCACCATAATCCTTTCAATTTTAAGCTTTCAATATGACCACCACTTTTTAAAACCTTGAGTAATTTTTCAAGGCTGCTTAAATCTGTTTTCCCTGACTGCAATCCTACTTGGCCCCCAAATAAATCTAATATTCTTTGTTGTGGGCTAAGGAAAATTGGTTCTTTGTCAACGTTCCCACTATAAATTGGCAGGGGTGCCAGTGTTCACACTGGAATTGGCACTCAGTCCTGACTGGACCCATCCCCTTGGGCACACTGAGTTGGGGGCATGAGTCTTCCTGGATTCAGCTTCCCAATCTCATTCTGGTGAAGACTTTTATTTGGGGGATTATTGCTGTTGACATTCCCACCCTCAGCGATGGAATTCCATCTTTGCCACTAGGTGGAAGATTTGAGTCTCCTTTTAAGCTTCCTTCTATTCCATTAGGCAAGAATTTGGGTCACAGGTTTCTGTTTGAGAGTTCTGAAGTCTACTATAACTAAGTTCGTAGTGACATCTTGTGGCCATTTTGAATTTTACAATTGATCAACAAAAGAGAGGATACTCAGGGGTGCCCTGTCTAGAGGAAGAAGGCGTTGGCTCCTTCAACCACTTGGGCTGTTTTAGTCAACTCAAACCTGGTGGAAATGTTATGGCTCACAACCTATGGTCCCTCGATCTGAGGGGATAATTTTCATCCAGGAGACGGGATGCTCATAAAGACTGAGGGGTGAGAATTCAGCAGACTTATTAGAAGCAAGGAAGAAAATTTGCATGGGAGAGATCCCAAAGAGGATTCCATTGGTGGCTCTCTGTCTAGGGTTTTTTATACTGTTTTTCTGAGGACCTAATCTTTCCTTGGGAAGTCTCTCTTGATTGTTCTCTTTTACTGACTCAATTAAAATTGAACAAGTTTAATTTCTTAATTCCATAATGGGACGGTTTAATGTGATAACTTGAACTTGTCCTGCGCTTGTTCCTTAAAACAAACAAACAAACAAAATTGTTTGGGTTCAAAACAAGCTTTAGTCTAGTGTTTTAATATGGGGTGGAGGGACCCCTCCCCCATTCTCTGAAGTCCCCATTTCTCTCTGTCTATAGATAATCTATCTCCTGACTTTATATTGAATAATAATAGATAGTTAATGGTCAGGCAACCAGAGTAATGGGCCCCAATTAGTTTTTTTTTTTCAAATGTAATGACCACTTATGAGGTTAACCTTAGA